GATCGACTCTCCTGATGGTTGGAGGGCAGGGCTTAAACTCTCTGTGGAGACATAAACAAGAATATGGGATGTGTTAGTGTGGGGAGAATAGAAAAACTAGAAAATATCCACAAAGCATATTCCACTAAAGATCCACAACTTTGATGCCAAAATAAACACTCTGCTGTGTCTCAGTCAGCAGACACATTCGGGCCTAATCCAGGCTGCTTATGGCACTGTTGGCCAAGTTATAGCATATCAGCCAGATGTGACACAACAAACATGATATCTGGCTGATATAAAGAGGTTGTGTGCCTGAGTTGATGCAGCTAAATCCACCCATCAATGAGGCCAAATGTTGTGCAAAATCAGCTGTTGATACCAGGCCACATCTGGGCCAAACAGGTGGTACTTACTTAGGATGCTGCTGTGGCAACTACAGAGAAAAAAAGCTAATCCTCCTGGATGCATTCAGAGTTGAAGTGCTTGTTTCTATGGGTGTTTTGACACATACATTTTGGGCATCATGTGATCCAAAGAAACCTGGACATTTGGGCCAAACATTCAGTGCTAATCAGGACGATCGGAGAAAGGCAGCCGTCATTACTGGACCTGAAAAACTCCAATATAAACCAGATGATTGTACTTCTCATAGATCAAAAGAAAAGCTGTAGTTCTTCCAATGACCAGGCAATATGTAGGTTTAGGTGAGATTTTTGGGAGGGTGGGGTGGGGTTGGGGGTCTTTGTATAACAACAAAAGTTGTTTTATTAGCTGTAGCAAGCTAAGCTGTAGCGAGTCGACACAACTGTCAAATTTAAAGGATCAAATTTATCATTTTGCCACCACTGTCCCCTCACAGGAAGAAGGTTGCTGGTTCAAACCCCAGCTGGGTTCATTCTTTGACTTTGCTTGTTTTCCCTGTAGCTTAGTGGGTCATCTCCAGGTCCACAGTCCAAAGACCTGCATGTTCGGTTAATTGGGGATAATAAATTGGCTGCAGATGTGGATATGTTATCCTGTATCTTAATGCAGGATTTAGCATCACAGTAACTGATCCTGCAGACCCAACGTGCTCCACAGCAGGCTATTCTCCAGATCAGAGACCAACAGGCAGGAAATCACTGACCAGTCAGATTCCTGCACAATGAGGTCACCATCCCTGAAGATTCCTAAGAACTCAGAATGCAGACAGTCAGAGGGTCTGAAGGTTTTTTTTTACTGGGGTTTAAAAACTTTGTCAGAACAGCTTCAGTTAGAAATTTAGATCCTGAGAGAAACTTTATTCCTGATGTTTTGTTTTGGCCACAAACAATATTTACTATTCTACAAGAATCAACATCTGATCCTAAATCACAGCATCTGCTTGTATTTGGACTTTATATCACATTTGCACACAGTCTGCTTGTCTTTATCTTTACTCCCAGACTGTGATAACTGGCACCTTCCTTCTTGCTTCAAATAAACTTTATTAATACAGCAGCCCTTTCAGATTCTGTGCTTTGACTGTTTTCACATTCACACACACACACACACATAGATGAATACACACTGGTTAGTTTTATCACATTGATAACCACCTGCATGTGATTTCAGATTAGCAGTTAGTTTAAGTGAATCCAGATAAGGAAAAGAGATCATGGGTATTTTGAACCTGCTTCATGGTCAGTGTTGGGGAG